ATTTCAAGGTTTATTCTCTCAATGTTCTACACAATAACTTTGCAAAACAAAAATATCATATTCCGACTGAATGCAAAGGTGACACACTCTCTGCTGCCTGTGTGTGTAGGTTCCCCATCTGTCCTTCAGTCGGTGTCTGTCCCCACAAGTTGCAGGTCTCTTCTGTATTGGCAAGTTGTCCGCCTCTGTTCTATGCTGGCTGTATCTGTCACAAACTATCTGTCTCTCTGCCTGTCTTTCCTGTGCTGTTTGTCTGTAAGCTCTGCAGACTAGTCTGTCTGTTTGCGCTGTGCTGTTGGTCTGTCTGACTGTCTGGCTGACTGCCATTCTCTGCAGTGTAGAGTGAGTCATTCTTAGGACAATGGAGACAGTTTGTAAAGCCACACTGGAGCGTACACTTCCTCCGGATGTGCAAGAGGATGCCATTCATAACAAAGCCTGCACTGTCTGCCTGTCTGCTACTGCCCTGTGTATGCATACATTTGAGAAACAGAGGGAATAGAAAGAGGAATACAGGGAGATGGAAGGAGATACGTGGATAGACTGAGAAAGAGAGTGTGAATTGCAATAAAGGGGGTGAGTTGTGTTGACAGGCTCTACAGCAGAGGGAAGACAGAAGAGAAGGAGAAGAGGAGAAGGGCGACACAGCAGACAGCGGCGGCAGCAGCAGCAGCAGCGGCGGCGGCGGCTGGTGATTGATATCAGAGATCTGGCACTGCCACCTGATCCAGCCAGCCAGCCAGCCAGCCTCCAGCAACATTGAACTCACTGAACTCAGTGAGCCAAGATGGTTGCCTCACTGCACTGCACCCAACGAACCCCACAGCAGCCTAATGTACATAGTACAGCACATACAGTTCGCAAAGTGATTAAGTTCTAGAGATACAGAGAAGAGTGTAGCTTCACATTTCAGCTTGATGTCTATCATACGATCATGTAAAGATGCATTATGTGAAAGCTCGGGAAACAGAAATGGATTTTCATAAAGGGAAACAGTGAATATCTAATAGAGCTGTTTCCTGACTGTCTCCACGGTGAAGGGGCTTATACTGTGATCATAATTCTGCATTTTATAGATGCGTTTTATTAAGATATGGTGAGCAAGAGAGGAACAGACCTAAAGATACACAGCAAGAACATGCAGAACAAATATTTCATTCAATGTGTGGGATGCAGCAATGTAATTTAATGTCCAATATAAAATCATGTCAGTATGAATGTTTCCATAACCTCCATAAGCCCTCTGAATTTTTACCTATAATGCAACCAAATAAATCAATATAAATTTCCACTGCAGCCTCCAAAACTATTGAATAGCCAGAAAAAGAAAAATATTACTGGCATGCTGATTAAAATTATTAGATCACTGTGTTTGATAAAATATGTTTATCTAGTGAAATTACTAGAATGTTACAGGGTATGGGCATAGCAGACTCACATTTGATTATAGCCCCATGAGCTAAAGGGCTAAAACTGCTGGATTAAAATTAAAATAATGATCATAGAAGACTTTATTGTAATTTCTCTGATGTTCAAGAAAGAAATAATTGCACTTACTATGTCAATAAGTGCAATTGCAGAATTTAAGGACCATCATCAAAGCCTTGTGACTTCACATAAGCTTGGTAATATTTTTCTTTTCTAAATAGCTTACAGTTTTTAAGTTGCATTTTCACAGTTTTTAAGTTGCATGACAGTTGTAATTAATTTAAAACCCAACTGTAAAAGGAAGAGTATGTACAACATTCTCTTGACTTGATGGTATTTATCTTACATGTGCTTAAACCCTCCAGGGAGACAAAGAATCACTGATCTTAGATTATTTCTAAAACAAGTCTATGACAAGACTCACTACACTTTTGACAAAGCCACATCTCATCTGATTAGTAGCTTTGCTTCTTGGGGACAGAAAATGTCAAAGAAAAGACGGTTGGGTTCTCCTTGTCTCTCTCACTCTTCAGTTTCTCCTCCCTCTTGGCCATCTGTTTGTGCTGACTGCTGTGTGGGCTGATGCTCGTGGAGGTAACAGTATCCTCGACTACAGGGGCTGACTGTGACCTCTGTGGCCTCTCATGGTCTGACAGAAGGTAAACTCCTGGCCTGAGTGGAAATTCAGTGGAGTTCAATTCAGATTCAAATGTTTAGGGTGCAATAAAACAGCCTTGTAACTTTAGTCATGACATCTGATTTTCATCCCAACTCAATGTCCTTCCAAGGCTACACACCTGTCTGTCTTTACCATTAAGAACAGAACATCTTTGCAAACATTGGTTATTTAGGTTTACTTGCAAGTTTTTTGCCTTATCACACACTGTGACAGATTCTGTTATTTATCTACTGTTAATTATTTCCAAAGATAAATAAGTGATGCAGCCGAAAGCACTCTCCACTCTGATTTAATGAAAGGAGGAAGGAAATCATTGCCATGGTAGTGAGCAAGTGAAAGTCTTGGTCATCTGAGGACATACTGTACTGTACTTTGCAGACGTGATGTTCCTGAGGTTTGTCTCTGCATGTGTTACAAGATAATGATTAGCTGGTAGTGATGAGCAAACTGTTCATATACAACAGGTAGAGATTTTTTGATACATACATGCATTTTACTACTCTATTTTTGCTTTGTATTTTAAGTTGGACTGATTCATTGACAAAATGATGGAAGGAATAAAGAAATGAAGGATTAGGGGGTTAGCGGTTAAGGTTAGAGGGTAAGGGAAACACCCTAAAGCTAGGTGAAGAAAAGCCTTCATTCCTTCCTTCCTTTCTTCTTTCCATTCTGTATAAACGTTCCCTATTAATAGTCTTACATATTCTTGAAGCTGGTGCTGTTGGACATGCTTACACCACTAACAGGAATCAGCATCTACTGACTGATGTGTAAGTTGATCAGAGTCAGTGTGCTAGTGTGTGGCATTGTGCTATACATATCAGTCATGTTTGACCAAGTATTCTAATGTTTAGTGGCTTGTCAAACAAAAACTAGATACTCAAAGATACACACAGTCCCTTCATAAAACATGCAGGGAGGCGAGCATCCCCATGATTGTGCATGAGCAAGGAGTCATCACCAATATCTATGAATGAACACTTTTTTTCCCTCAGTCATTCATTTCATTTTATAACATTAAGGAAGGAATACACAGTTTTGGTTCTCTTGGACCTTTCATCTGCTTTTGATACTGTATCATAATATTATGATAAATAGACTCCATGATCTGGTTGGGATGTCTGGATCAGTTTTAAAATGGTTTTCATCTTACCTTTCTTGTAGAAGCTTTAGTGTTTATGTAAATCAGATCATGTCTAAAACTGCAGGACTGCCTTGTGGGGTACCTCAGGGTTCTGTCTTGGGACCCATCCTGTTCCTTTTGTATACATTTCCTCTGGGACAGATAATTAGTCCGTTCAGTGACATATCTTACCATCTGTATGTGGATAATATTCAACTGTACTGCTCGTTCAAGGAAACTGAGTTCCATAAATTGTCTTCTTTAACTAACTGCTTGACCAGTATTAAACAATGGTTATGTGACAACTTCCTGTTTCTGAACACAGAGAAAACAGAAACACTGATTATCGCCCCTGAAAGTAGAATCCCTCGGATTAAACAGAATATTGTTGACTTAGGCTCATCTGTCCAGCCGAGCCTCAGGAGCTTAGGTGTTGTTTTTGATTCAGCAATGTCCTTAGAGTACCACTCTAAAGTCTAAGGAATATATCCAAATTAAGAACACTGGTGTCAAAGGGTGAGCTGGAGAGGATCATTTATGCTTTTTATTTCCTCTCGTTTAGATCACTGTAACAGTCTTTTTACTTGTTTGAGCAAGAAGGAGCTTTACCATCTCCAGGCTGTTCAGAACTCTGCTGAAAGGCTTTTAACTCACATTAACAAAAGAGCACACATCACACCTGTTTTAGCAGCACTTCACTGGTTACCAGCCCAGTATAGAATTCAGTTTAAAATCCTGGTTCTTACTTTTAGATCCCTGCACGGTCAAGTTCCTCCCTACATCTCTGAGTTGATACAGCTTCATACTCCAACCCCGTAGTTTGAGGTCATCAGGTCAGAGGTTATTGGTGGCTCCCTACACTCATTTTATAACCAGAGGGGATCGTTCATTCCAAGCAGTGGCACCTAGGCTGTGGAACGCTTTGCCTTCCTTTCTACGTTGTGTGAATTCTGTTGATTCTTTTAAAAAGCAACTGAAGACTCTGCTATTCAAGCAGGCTCTTAGTTAGACGTGTTTTTTTTTTTTAAAGGTTTTTAAGGTTTTTGTTTCTATGTTTTCCATCTGTATTTAAATTTTCAAAATTAACGACAAAGTCAATATAAATCTCTGCCGTGGACTGAGTTGTCTACAAAATGATGACCAAGATATTTGCCTGACTAGTAGAACTGGAAAAATCTGAATTTCCTATAATCCTAATTATCTAATTATTATTAAATTACTTCTTTTTTGGCAACAAAATAGCACCATATTGGCATCTGTTGTAAAAGGATTAATTACGAGATTGCCAAAAACACAACCTGTTCGAACAAGCACGTACCTGCACACACAAACAAGTATGGGGATAATATATTGCACCATCACTGAAATGAAAGAAGTGGTTTAAAAGGCAAACAATACACAATAACTCAGTTATTTAGGTACTCCTCTGACACTCATTTAAGTTAATACAAGTGGTTGATTAAAATAGAAGCTTAGACACATCGAAGAGGCACATGAACATCTCTCTTTCGTACACTCTTTTTCACTGCTGTCTTCCATCTATTTCACCAGTCTTTCTTTATCATCTTCCACTCATTCACTCTTCTAGTTTTTCTTTTTGTGTAACCAGCTTCATGTCGCTCAATTCAAAACAAACAATGTGCATTATTTGGTAGAAGACTAGAAGTACAGGGCCTTCCAGACAGTCAAAACACAACTAACTGCAATCTTATTAACACAAAAGGTTGTATGTGTGTGTGTGTGTGTGTGTGTGTATAGAGGTTTCACTACCTTTCTCGATCTCTCTCGCTGTTTCGCTTCAGTAAAAAGCTTTCAAATGACTAAGACTGCAGTCTTTGCTGTATCACGACCTGGACAGTGAGTCAGCACCCCGACCCTGATCCTCTCCACACACACACACAAACAGACAATGATTTAGCATATGATGCAGACAAACATTCATATTCCTGACACAAACAAACACCCCCCCTACAACCTCTATCTCTATCTCCCTCACACACTGACGAACACTGGTAGCGCTGCGTCGTGACTGGGGGCGATGTGTTCCTCTTAATATGCACAGACGACTGTCTGAGGATCACACTGGCGTGCTGGCACACATAGAAAAAGATCCTCTCCTCGACTTCAGCGTGTACTGTATTTGTGTATGTGTCTGTGACACAGTGAGAGAGTGCATGCACTCCATGTAGTAAGGAGCACTCTGTTGTCCAACATGTTCTCCTGCTGTGCCATAGCAATAGCCTACATTACCCAGAAGCCTGCTGTCTGTTATGTATCCATGTCACTTCCTGTTCAACAGTTTGTGTTACACATTCCTAGACACCATCACATAGTCAGGGGGATGATACTCATTGGCCTAAAAGTCTGGAAATCCCCCTTGTTCAATCCCTGAGGCTGACTTCCTAAAACACACACATAAAATCCTGGTTTTGGGGGCAATGTTCAGTATGTTAAAAAAATAATACAAAGCCCTAAAGTGCCTTACAGTATGCTGTTGTCATCACATAGCCACTGTATATCACTTTTGGACTGTTTCTGGTTCAGTTTGGCCCTGCTAAAAATGACTTTTCACCTGTTGCAGCAACCACTTACTGAACATAAGTTCCGTGAATGTCTGAAAAACAGGGAAGTACCATCATTGCTACATGCTCTTCAACTTTTACAATCTGTTTATCATTCAGTTTGTTGCAATTAGTATGTGTTGTCAGTGACCCACTCGACTCCACCCCTGCCAACCTAGGGTCATCTGACTCTGTGACACCATTCACAATTCACAAGAAGTTAAGACACAGCTACGTTAAATAATATCTCAGAGAGGCAGGACTAACTTGATTTCACAGACTAGTAGACACACTACGCACCAGCAGTGTAACTATGGGCCTGGTAGATGTTATTAACTACGCACACACACACACACACACACACACACTTATGCATACAAATACATGCACATACCCATACACACACTTGTTTTAGGACACAACCTGACTGAAGCTCATAGAGGCTTAGCAAACAAACTGCTAGCCAAGCTTAAAATAAAGAGACACATTCCTGCGGGGGAAACACGCATATACATTCGCACACTAGATCAGACATCCATGTGATCACACACACACACACACACACTCATATCTTCCCACTGGCACATGTGGACAGGCACGGCCAGGCCCTCAGTCTAGACAAGAGGCAGAGAAGAAGAGGAGAGAAAATAGGGGGTAGTGAGGAGGGGAGTAGTAGAAGAAGAGAGGTACTGGATTTACTTACCCCGTTTCTGGAGCCATCCCTCTCTAACGATGGTGACATCGCTCATGGTTCCTTCACGCCGAGTCTGATGCCGCTACACGCCTGCTCCACAGAGAGAGAGCGGGAGGAGGGGAGGAGAGGAGGAGAGGAGAGAAAGAGAGGGAGAGGAGGAGAGGAGGAGGAGAGGGGGGGGCCGGCTCTCCCAGCCTCCGCGTCACTCTCCCTCCCTTCCTTTCCCGTTCACCCTCTCGTTCGCGCAGTCTCCCTCTCAGACGCACACACACACAAACACCGTGTGTGTGTGTGTGTAAGCGTGTGTGTCGTTTTGCTTCCTGTTGTGGCTTATCTCCCTGCCTCCCTCCCTTCTTCGTCTTCTTCTCCCCCTCCTCCTCCACCTCCTCCTTTTCCTCTCTCGTTCCCTCTCCAGACCTTCCTCCTCACCAGCAGTGACTCAGCCTGGAAGGAAGTGAAAGGAGAAAAAAAAGAAATAAAAAGATTTATTTTTCTCCTCCTCTGCTGCTCCCTCTCTCCCTTCTTCCCCTCCAAATCCCTTTCATACAATCTGACAAGACAAACAACTAGTTATTGTGAGGAGAAACGCTCCCTCCAATCTCCCTCCACCCAGTTCCTCTTTCTGTCGCTAACACTCTCACTGATAAACAGGAAGAATTATTGCAGAGCTCTTGATGAAGCAACTGAACTGACCTTGATTGCCAAACAAATATCCCTGAGCTATACCTCTCATTCATTCAGAGATCCTTTTTGTTCTGGTGAGCAGGATGTGCTGTGTGCAAAAGACAGTCTACCTTTCTCGCTGAATTTCTGCATGTCAAAGTATTTTTTCCAACATGTGTGTTTGTAGACTGAATTGTCTGTCTATATGTAGGAGGTGGAAGAGCATCTCAGGACTATGGAGTAGGATTTGGCTATAAATAGCTACAACGGCAGTTAGGGATGCTCTCACACTCTCTTTCTCTCTGCCCAAATCTCTGCGCCTCTCTGTCGTCTCACTCCCGCTCTCCCTCCCCTCTCTCTCTCTGCATAGCTGCCGCGTTCACCTCAAATGCTCCCTACTACACTGTATTACACAACGCGTAACAACACTGCCCTGTTCAGCTTGAATGGAGATCAGCACTACGGCGGCTAGGCTAGCAGTCATAGCCACCTAGCTTCAAATCAGTATTCAGCTCAGCTAGTGTCTGCACTGCTGCCGACACTTGGAGGGACCGCAGCGTCATAACCAAGGCTGGAACAAACCCACAGACGCACTAATGCACACACCCCAGAAGGTGACACAGAGTTTTTTTTATGTTGAGGCAGCAGAATAGTGACCAATCTGAGACCAGACGAACAAACCCAAGTTAGTACTTCTTGGTCTGGAGGGCTGCTACAATGCTCAGTTAAGGCTTTCAATTAGTTTCCCCTTTTTTAGTTTCCTCAAATTAAAGTTTCACCTTCACTTAGTTGCCAAAACAATTGTCTTTATTACTAATGACTAATAAGAAATAGGTAGACAGTACAAAGGTTTTAGTAAGCCCAAATTGAGGAGATGTTCATCAAGTTGAATAAGTCAGAACTGCCAACAAATAGTCAGTGGAAAATATTGGATTTCAGTGAAGTTAAAGACTACAACTATATTAGAATTAACACCAAATGGAACAAAGACCACTGATGGTGTTTCTACTGTGCTGTAGTCTTTTTAACCATACAACTACCTCGGGCAGCAACGCCTGAATATGAAATTAATCATCAACAATTAGTTGTTTAAAGCTGCTGTATGCTATTCTAATTCAATACACATCTTTATGTCAAATTCTATGAATATCTTCTCACTCTCTGCTAGCTGTACCTTAGCTTTACGTCATTAATAAAAAATAAAAAAAAAACTTAAAAAGAGTATTTGCTGTTTATCTAAGATTTAGATAATTTGAAATAGGCTCATTTTTAGACCAAATGATTAATGACAAAAATAAATCAATATTAAATGAAAATAACTGTTAGTTGCACCCAGTTATTTTACCACACTGAATTACAGAGAATGTAATTATAAGGGCTGGGTAATCTGACCACAATGTCTCTGAAATGTCTGCTAAACTATCGAAACCTGCCTCCAAACGTCTGATCAGACTCATAATATTGCTTATCATGTTACCAGTTTCAAACTATTACATTTAGGTAAGATTTCTTATACAGCTACAGCTTGTGGTTGGACCACAACTAATAATTGAGATCTTAGGCTTGTAGAAACCACATTTATATTTCATAAACTAAGGTATAAGGTTAAAAAAAAAAAAGTATTGTTTCTGTATTGATAACAAAACTGAATTAGAAAATAATTTTTAAAAAGCCCTAGTTGTAACATCCAAGGTGATCAAACCTTTTTATAGGCACTGCACAATTCTGGATTAAGCTTTAGGACTACAGTGTAATTCAATTAAGCTTCGGTTAGCTTTAACTTTAATCTGGACAAGCATGGCGAAAGGAGACGAGAGGAGACGAGAGGAGCTGAATGTCCAGACCGTGGCAGCCCCCTTTCACCAGGGTGCTTGTGGATACCTAGTGCAATGATGAACCAATCATGCCAGGGGAAGCACCCGCCAGACAAGATTTATTTCATGATATTTCATTCCAGGGGCAACAACGAGGACAAAAACATGACAAGGAAAAGACGATATGGGGGGTGGGGGGTGGGGGGTGACAGGAAATGGAGACAGAAATTGAGACAGACAGAGAAACAGACAGAGACAGAGAGATAGAAACTGCAGGCAAAAACCAGACAGTCAGCTACTCCACCATTAATCAGTCTGAATGTGTCAAGCAACACTGCAAGGCAATAAAGGATTGCAACTGGAAAAACTAATACAATCCAAACACAGCTCTGACACCCATTAAACATGACCAGAACTTTGCTATATTTACATTTAACACAAGCTTTTGTTACACTGCTCAACTTTTTTGGTCTCAGCTAATGTTACAGTAGTAAAGAGGAGCAAAACCTTATCTTAAAAAAGGACCACACCTTTCTCAACCATTCTCAAAGGTAAGATTGCTGAATGTTTTGATTGATATCCTCCATGCCCACAGACTCTTGCATTCAAAACATTACTGCTTCAAAACAATACACTGCCTGGAACTGCATTAGTGCATATTATATAACTTTGACATACAGTAAAGAGAGCAGAAGTATTCACTGTGTTGCATTTCCTGTATCAAGTCTTTGCATGCAGATTTTATATAGTACTACCATCATGAACTGAAACCTAGCAGGTTGAGAATCAATCTATAAACCTATGGTATGCATTATAAAGTTTCACACTTTATAGAATGAGCTAAATCATGCAAAATTATTGGTGTGGCTCTTTAATACATATCATGTACAAGAGCAGGACACATTTGCAGATACGTCTGTGTTCCTGCCGGCCTCCTGTCAGAACAGCACACCTAATCACACCTCACTTCACCCCTCCTCACCCTAAACTGTGGCCTCATACAAACCCTGACTGACATCAGCAGCAGTGAGTCCACAATCGTCTTCCTGAAGTTCAAGACAGCCTTTGGCAGGACCTCAAGTGTTAAAACACAGTATGTGTTTCAACCATGTTAGCATTCAAGTCCATTCTTTTCCTTTTTATGCACCTAAATTCAGTGATTGCGTACTGGGCTGTCAGCACTGCCAAAATGCAGGTGACCACGCAGTAGTACAGTTGCTGATGGAAAACAGGAACTGTGCTGTTCACATGTTGCTTTCACTACCAGTCTGTCAACAAGACAAGGTGTAAGAGTAGAGGTGAAATGGTTGGTCAATGAATCAGTTAGTCAACCTAGATTATAAAAAGTCAAGTACTTTCACTGAAAAACATTTGCTACTTTTCTTGGATACCTTACTTTAAAAAAATATAAACTTTTTTTTCTACAAACCTTTTTCATTTTACAAATGGGATAAGGTAATAATCTGATCAAACATGTAAACAACATTACAAAACCACACATTCAATGCTGTTAACAGTAAACAGTTTTCAATACTCCCAGGGGTACTTTCCTAGGGGTTATCAAAGTCAGATAAAGCTTGGAAAAAGACAGCCCCAAACCCCCCTTGCTTAGTTTTATTCAATTCCTGGACACCTACGGGATCATTATCATGTTATTTGATCCCATAGACACTCTATGAGCCAAGATAGCCTGTCCTAAGACATTTATTAGTGTCTGATTCTGGGAAAGACAGTAAACTTCCCCAAAAACTACTATATCTCTGAACTATCTCTTTAACCAAATCACACACATTTCGGCTGGTCTATGTGATCTCCTTTTTTCACTTCCATTCACTGAGCCTCCCCTAAAACAGTTTTGTGCCCCCCTGGGAGGCCCTGCTACCACACTGAAAAGCTCTGCTCTATATTGTATTCTAGTGGTATGGACATATTTTAGTCAGGCTCCAAAAAAATAGGGTACTGAAGTGCAACAACCAGCTGTCCCGGAGTCTTGACATTGATGCAGCAGCAGCACCATAAACACGATCCCCATTAGTACAATCAAATATATCATTCTCTGCCATGAATGTTATGTGAGATACCCTCTTAAATCATACCATTTAAGCCAGGCCTAGTTTGCATGTCACTCCCTACTGCAGCTATGAAAATTAACATGATATTCAGTTGCCTCGAACATTAAGGACATAATTTTAGTGATGTTGTAATGTAATGTTGTTTGTCAGGCTGAAACATTGCTCCTGTGAAGACCACGAATGAGGACACACAGCACTGCATCATCTACGTCACGGTGCAAAACGTCTGTGAAACTGACGCATGTTGCATGCAGCACAGCAGAAAAAGGCATGCATGTTAAACCTAAAAAAAACACTACTAAAACACTACTTTTTCCGGTGAACGACGTTATGCATGTTCGAGACAGGGACGCAGATTATGCTACTTCTCAACACAAGTCGTCAGCTGTAAGCATCATTCCCGACAAACACGGGACCGCCCCCACTTTGCTAACGTTATCACAACATAAACACACATTATTTAGCTAGCTTTAGCAGGTTTAGCAGTCATGCTCATTGGCTAGTAACTAACAGTATTACCTGTAGCGGCAGGTGTTCTGGTATTCCCGTGCACCTGCTGTTCATAAACCGCCCTGGTTATTTTCTTTCCTCCCTTCTTCTGAGTGAGTAAGTCGTAAAGCTATGCTGGACTGCAAGCCAAGCTAAACCGCTAATCAACGGTCGCTGTCAACGTGACGAGTCGGGGAAGAAATAATCGTTTACAGCAAACATAACGTATCTAACGGATTTCCCACAAGCCACGACGGTTACCGCAGCCAACGGTTGTTTTGACTTTCAGGAAAGCTCGTGACGTCACCCAGAGAAACGGTAACCCCCTGCTCTCGCGCACAGGCGTGCGTACACTCACACACACACATCCTACCGTTTCGCCTCGTTCTCCCGTTTTAGGTTTTAACGGTTTCAGCTCGGCGTCTAGTTCTCCTCCACTGTGGAGCTCTCTCATCATCCCTTTCCAACATCCCGTGTGTCTCTGCCGGCTAATAAGCCAACCATCGCGAGACTCAGCCGGTGCTAAGCATGGTGCTAAGACCCACTGTTTATCAAACGAGAAGAGGCCTTAACTGGGTCTGGTTCTTTTGTACAGTCTGTGGTCTGTTCCTGTAGTTACACTAAAACAGTGATGGGTCATTCAGTGGAGGTTTGTGGACGGCGGTGATGGAATAAGAAACACAATAAAGCCAAATGGCTTTTTTCCATTGTAGTCCTGAGTCTATGATTCATCTTTAAAAAAGACAATTGCCAATATCTTCAGCTATTTGTGGTCCGATAAATGCCAACGTCTTTTAATCTCCACACCCTAAGTAAGAGTTGGCACATTTAGGATCAAACAGCTTTTTGCCGTTCAAAGTGATTTTTTTTTTATGTTCAAGGATTCCTGATTCTTGTGTCTGAACAATTACAGACAGGTTTGAGAAAATCGTACGCATGTGTTAGTGCTTTAGGAAGTTACAATATGAGGCTATGCTGTTAGCATGACGTTACCCTTAAACTGCTGGATGACAGAATTTTGTTAAAATGGCAGGGATGGGATAATTTGAGCCAAAAGACCTGGATGAGTCAGTGTTGAGCCAGCTATTTTACTGTAATTTTACATTGCATTTTTATGCATCACCGAAATAATGTGACATTATGCATTTTAGACCAGAAACCATCATGTCATACTTCTATAAATGCAACACAGGCAGGCTTCACAACTCCTCTTGTGGATTTGGACAGAGTAGTGGGAGAGGTACAAAAATGTGAAGTCCATTCATCAGGTGGCACAAGACATAAGGATAAACAGGATGGCTTTAAAGCGATACATTGATATGAATCAACTAAGAGACATAGTTGCAATGTGTCACTATCTAAATGCAACTGAATGTTGGGACCTGGTGTTTGAGTTTGCATGATAAAATGCCATTGAAGTCACCAACCCCAATGTGGCTCCACTTATCCTCTCCCTTGGCTCAACTTACCCCTCATATGGGGCAATTTCATAGACTGTATATGGGCAATTTGAGCCAAGAGTCCACTTTTTTTTGGAAAGCCATATTGTGAAAACAGTTTATTTTAGATCCAAATTGATTATTCCCAGGGATGCACCACATCCTAAATTATAAGTACATATTTTAGATGAAGACCTTACTGTCATGTCCTCACTTTAATGACACCTCAAGTAAAAACTGGCTCAACTCACCCCACTCTCCCCTACTGAACACACCATGACTAGTAAACTTACTTTTAGTCTGATTTGTAGCCAAAAAAACATGTATTTCATATGCTAAAATTGGAATAAATTATTTTTAATTAGATAATTAATTAGTTAATTGGATGTGATGCAGCACTCTTTACAATAAGCTTTTACAAATTTTTATATTTTACCTGTGTGTGAAGCAGTATAGAAACTGAACTGTGTAACAGTCTCTACTCAACAGCTGATCAGTCAAGTGTAAACCAAAATGGTCAGTTGACATTTAAGGCTTTGATTGTTGATACAATGCATTTTTAGAATTCTTGTGCAGGTTGTTTCAAGCCAGCGGGGTCAGCTGCAATTTTATATAGTACTTTGAGGATGATGCATCAGAGTAAATTTAAAATTAGAATCCTAATTTGTTGACATTCTGGCACGACACCCTCCCTCATCTGTTCTCTCTTTTCTCCTCTCTGTCTCCCCAGATGGTGTGTCGTGTGGAGCTGGGCAGCAGTGGCAGAGCATATAGGTATGGGACTATGGCTGGGTACAGAGTGCAGACACAGGTGGAGCTAGCATGTGAGATAATATATGTGTGTACTGTTCTGGCCTCTCTTAACACACATACACATATTGCCATCAGCTGGCCTTTTGCTCACAGCCCTGTGTGCAGAGGGGGAGTTTGGGAGGAAACCAGCAGCCAGGGAAGGTGTGTGTGGTGTGTGTTTGTGTGTGTGTGTGTGTGTGTGTGTGTGTGTGTGCAGGGGAGGCAATGGAGGTGGGGGTCATGGAGGTGGGGGTAAAGAGACAGCTTGAAAAGAAATAATGCAACACAGGGGAGCCCTTCTGTTGCCATTGCTGTGGCCAGACGTGTCCATGTGACACACACACACACACACACACACACACACACAACAACAACAAACAACTTAGAGTCAGTCATCAACTTCAACTGCACTCTCAAAACATGACAGGAGAAATTACCAACATAAGGTTTATATTATTATGGTTTGAAGCATATGCACTTAAGATAACTTAATGTAGAAATCTTAGTTTTCCATGTTAGCATGCTAACATTTGCTGAATAGCACTAAACACAGTACAGCTGAGGTGGATGTCATTAGTTCTGCAGGTAAAAGTATTTGACAAATTTGTATTTTGTTCTGATGATGGCACTAGATATAAAATTAAGTTTTTACATTTAATTCTGAGGAGGACGAATCGCTGCACCACATTTCATGACAATCCGATCCAACAGTTGTTTAGGCATTTCAGTTAAAACCACAACCTCATGGAAGAGCTAGTGGAAAAAGCAGACAATAATCAGAATCATTAGGATATGTTGTCTGTGAAACATGAACTTGTGTACGAAATCCATCATGTAGCCTATATTCCAATATTTCACAGGATTAGTGAAAACTCTGAACGACTGGAGGAGAAGTCAGAGGATCACAAAAATAATTAGGATCGATCATCTTGGCACCATGTCTGACCAACGTCTGTACAACATTTCATGGCAATCCATCCAGTCCTAAAAAACAGACAGACCAACACTGACCAACATATTAATAATATTCTGTGGGGAAATGCAGCCACTGACTAAAAAGTGATAATGTTTTAAGTAGGTTTTAGTAAGTAAGGTTTTTTAAAAGCATCTTTCAAATCATTTTTAAAAAGCTAAATGTAGATTTGAAGAGCATGGACTGTAATATTGTAATACTATCACATGGCAGTAAAAGTTCAAAATGACAGAGAGAATAAAATGCAACTAGGACTTAATACAGCATATGAACACACATATTTCATAGGATGTGTGCTGTATGAACCAACATATAAATACTTTAGTTTCATTTCAGTGTATTGACACAGATATGTTATTCTCTACATGACCTCTATTTCAAAGGAACTTTGATAAACAGTGACCTTATAATCAGTGCACTAGTGTATTTTCTGGATTCCCTGGAGGCATCATTATGCATATATCTTTGCAGTGGAAGAGTGAGTCTGTCCAGTCAGTCAGATCAGCTGTAAAAGAACAACATTTTAAGGTGGGATCCTCTTGGTATGTTTTGCTCGTCAGTCCGTGATTTCACACACAAGTGCACCACATGATGTATGTTTGTGAACTTCAGGCATGTTTTCATGTGTGTGTATAAATGGTACATGTGTTCGTAAGAGAGTGAGCGAGAGAGAAAAGTTCTAAACAGTACATCATAGGTGATGTGAAATGTGTGGTAGAGTACATGTAAGAATATTGTATATTAAGTAATACTAAGGATGTGAGTGTACATCCAGCGGGTGGACAAAACAGACAAAGCGTCTATGTGAGGTTGTGCCCAGCAAGGTAAACAGTAATGTAACCCCAACACCTTCTCCATCACAATGCTAACAAGCTTACAATGACAGTGCTAACATAATTACAGGGTATAATATTCACCATCTTAGTTTAGTGTGTTGGCAAGCTAACATTTGCTAATCAACAATCAACAAAGTACACCTGAGGCCGATGGGAATGTCATATGTTTCACAGGTATAAAGAAAAATGTTGGAAAATTTGTCCTTTTGATGGCACTAGATGAAAAGTTAAGTTATTGGAATTGACCCTGAAGTGGACGAATATCTGTACCAAATTAATGGCAATCCAAAGACAACACCACAAAACAGAGCTTTAAAAATTACAATGGAATTGAACTTGCTCTTCTGACAATCTCGTTTCATCCCCATCTCGTTTTTTGGAAATTATAAACTTCAGAAATACATTTATTATTAATTATTAATTCAAGGCTTTTAAACTAGACTACATGATTTCGACATAATGCGTCTTTTCCATCGGGACCATCCAGACCACTCTGCCATTGGTTCTCACTAAGCTGGAGCCCTGACTCCCTGTGGGTGAGATGGTGCGCATCCGAGTGAATCACACACACATGCACAGACACCCCTGACACTCTGACGTGACACCAGAGTACAGAAGGTCTGTCCAGGTTAAACAGCAAACACACACACGAATCTAAACTTCCAGCTTTCGACTATAACAACATCTCTACCCCCATTCCCATTCCTCCTGTCTCTGCCCTCCTGCCACACATAACCCCCTCCCAATGTTTGTGACTCCCTCCTGCAACACACCCAACGCCGCTCCACCCCTCCATCCCCCCTACCTAAACTCCAGTCCCAACTCCCCAGCTCCCAAAGCCCAGGGAAGCAGCAGCCGTGCTGGCCTGCCCGGCACCCTGTACCTCTTCAGCCCATCCCTGGTCTCTTTGAAGTGGCTTCAGGAGAGAGAGGTCAGCCTTGCCCCCGAGACCTGCATAGAGGTAGGGACAGCTGCGGTCAGACAGACCCTGTGCAGGGGATACATACACACAAGAACAGGCACACACGCACATACGCATATGCACACACACGAGACAGGACAGAGCAGCTGCAGCCACGGTGTTGAAGGTGTGCTGTACAGCAGGACAGCTTGGGAGCCAGTATGGTCCAGCATGGCTCTGCTCTGTTCTGGGTCACCTATTTTGCACTCAGGTGTAAAATGTAGTCTGCGCAGTAACAGATGACCAGATAAAATTTATATATCTTTAAAGCAGCCTCCAGCCTATAAACTCATCTGT